TCTCACTGGTTCAGATTCTGCTAAAATTCAATCTGTCATTGATGATCTTGCTGGTGTATTTGAACTCAAGGATATGGGGAGGTTAACATATTTTTTGGGATTGCATATCCAATATAGAGATGATGGTTCATTGTTTATCTCCCAAGCTAAATATGCCAAGGATGTGTTACAAAAGGCAGGAATGGATACCTGCAAATCTACATCTACGCCATGTAAGCCTCATACTCAAATTCTTGCTGGTGAAGGAACATTGGTGTCTGATCCTAGTCACTATAGGAGCATCGTTGGGGCTCTACAATATCTTACCTTTACTCGCCCTGATATAGCCCACTCAGTGAACATGGTTTGCCAATTCATGGCACAACCAACTGATGTCCACATGGTTTTGGTCAAAAGGATCTTGAGATATATTCAGGGGACAATTGGTTATGGCTTACACTATACCAAAAGCAAGGAATTCAATATTACTGCCTATTCTGACTCAGATTAGGCAGCAGATATCAACACCAGAAGATCAATCACAGGTTTTATTGTCTATTTGGGGAACAATCCAGTTTCTTGGCAGTCTAAAAAGCAGTCCACAGTCTCTCGAAGCTCCACGGAGGCAGAGTATAAGGCATTAGCTCACTGTGCAGCTGATGTCTTTTGGATTCGCTCTGTGTTTAAGGATCTTCATCAATCCATATTAGTTCCCCCATTCATATACTGTGATAACATTTCTGCCCTGGCTTTAAGTTCAAATCCTGTTTTTCACTCCAAGATCAAGCATCTTGACACGGACTATCACTTTGTGCGTGAAAAGGTTCAACGAGGAGATCTTATGGTTCACTATATTCCCACAGATGATCAGGTGGCCGATGTCTTTACAAAGGGTTTGCATAGTCCCATTTTTCATAAACATTGCAGGTCTCTTGGCTTGGGCATTAGTTCTGCAGCAAACTTAGCTTCCGTAGCTCAGCTCAGTTTGTGGGGGGAGTAATAACCATAGAGTCATGTTGACATATGGCAGTGTGTCATTGGTTAGTTACTTGGTTTGAGTTAGTTAGAATGGAGTTGTTAGAAAGGGTAATAGAGTCATTGTGTAATGTGATATTAGCTAGTATAAATAGCTGATATAGATGTCATGTGTGTATATTCAGAAAACTCTATTTCTTTACTCTGTGAAATACAAAACCTCTCGACTTCTCTTCTTTCTTCACTTCAGTTCTCATATCTCTATTTGATACATTTAGGGCATCATACATTCATTAGTTAATAGTTTCAACGTATGATAAGATTCAGATTGCACCAACTCAGTAGATCGATCGATTTCTCCAGCAGTCCGCTGTCGGATGTCTTGTGCAAGCAGATCAGCAGCGCTTCTACTCCGGCAGTTTCATTTTCTTCTGCGGACGGAGAACTAGAGTTTTGAAGAATTGGAAGTTTATTGGTCATGCTTTGCAAAGTCAACGATGGCTGGCCTGCTAAGAAATTACATGGTGCAGTAGGCGGTGGGCCAGGCCGAAGAAATACACATGATAAAGGCAACTGGCAACTTGCAAAGAAAGAAAGAAGGAACTAGGAAATAGGAGGCTGTGACAAAATCACATACATGATACACACGTCCATCATGCAAGGCAAAACACATCAACGGCTTTACAATCTCACCTTCAAAATCCACCTCCAAATTCACCTATCACCCGAAAACCAGCACAATGCGTAAGCAGGCCTGTGCCTGCCACACCAATCACAATGTGATGAATTTCCTAATGATAATTTGATTGATCGTCTAGAACACCCGGGCCATAGAGTAAATCCTTTTGTATAATGCTAAAAGGATCGAAGTTGTTGGTTGCCCTGTTGAGCTCTGCAGTAGAAAAAAAACAAATGGGAATTTGGAGCAAGCCTCTGTCTGAGATTGATTACAATTTTACAGAATGTTGTCGAAAAAAGCTTTGATGCATTAATTTGACTACCTTGTTTTGTTGTTTACTAAACGCCATGTGTGAACCAAAGAAAGCCAAATGCAATGATGAAAACCAGAACTTACAAAATTTTGGATGGCATCGTTTTTGCTTTTTTGCATCAAAGACAAAAGCGATGCAAGGCCAGATACGAGAATACAGGGAGCTTAACAATTGAACAATGAATGACCAAAGTTCCATACTAGAAGCTAGTTCCGTGGTTGAATCGATACCCTCTGATGTTAACAAATGAGATGGATAACAATGTTAGTAGTATTAATTAGACAAAATACACCTCAAGTTTTCTGTAATGTACCCAGTTTCCGTGTAAATAGTGTCAGCGTACAGTATGTCCTTTCACATCATCTTCAACATGCAACTGCTGAGTAACAATAGTTGTACACCGCGGAAAACTTCTATCTTTCTCCCATCTTGGAATTATCATTAAAATATAACAAAACTCTCAATGACCTCTGCTTCTTATGCAAGATTGGGCTCAAACCTTGAGTTTGGACTTTGGGGGTGTGATAATTAATATATATGGTGGAGGAAAATATAGTCGATCTTTTGACAAAAGGCCTACCAAGAGAACGATCAGTTTACAAACATTAGAATTGCCGTTAAACCAGTATCCAATACTTTTGATAACAAATGTAGTGGATCGAAGCCAGCTGGCCAAAACAAATTCTTCAATTCGAATGAGTTCTCTAGCCACATCCACCATGTATGGCCTTCCTTCAATGTCATCTCGAGTGCTTAACAATACCAGTTCAAGGAAATCATGCGACTGCTGTTGTACTTGCTCATTTCCCCTCACTTCCTCATAGATTCTCGGATCAAGAATTTCCCCAATTCGACCATCACAACCACTAGCATATGGAATTATTTCAATTCCTTCCACCCGCTCCCAAGGTGTTCGTCATGTCAGGAAAACAACTAAAAGAATACCAAAGCTGTAAACATCAGTTTTTTTTTCTGAAATGAGACCAGGCCGCATGTAGGCAGGCTCAAGGTACCCAGGTTTCCCTCCCACAGAATCTTCAACATCCTATTCCGTAGGAGGAATGGTTGTAGAGTGCGAGAAGCTGTAAAGTTTGGAAACATAGTCATCATCCAAGAACAGGCAGCTGGGGTTTAGATACCGATGAATGATGGGTTCGGCAAAAGGGGTATGGAGATATGAACCTGTACTGGCAAGCTGCTTTGCAATACGCAATCTAATGTTCCATGGTAGTATGATTTGATCTTCATTATCCCCTCTTAAACTTCCATCATGGTTGAGAACTCCTTTTGCTGCGTATGCATGCACCAGCACTGGTATGGGGAACTCTAAGCCGCAGCCGAAGAGTTTCAAAACATTATCATGGTTGCTCATCTGTAATGAAATGTCAATGTCACGAATAACGCAAGACCTATCCCTATCCTCATTTGACCAGCTCCGAATGCAGTACTTTGATACCATAAACATATCGTAGAATTGACCCTGTATTGCAATGCGACCCTGTTTTACAATGCGAGAAGGACTGAAGTTGTTGGTTGCCCTGATGAGGTCATCAGCAGAGTAACAACGAATAGGATGAGATTCTCCATCACTAGAAGCAAAGAGATCCTCTGATAACTTTTTTGGATTCTTGTAGTATGACGACTCGATATCTCTTTTCTTCTTTCTACAAAATGGTAGCCTTGAGAACCTAGCACAAATATATATAGACATATGTAACACACGAAAAATTAATGAAACTATATATATATTTGATACTTGCCATTGCCAACAAAGAAAATAAAATGTTGAAATGTTAACAATCTCCTAATTATCTAGTGCGGTACACCTGCTCTGATACCATGCTTAGCCTATGGGTAAAACTTATACTCGTAAACTTGGCTGAACAAGAAGAACGAATTAGAGATTGATTTTTTCCCCATTCATGTGGTACTATGTACTTTTGGAAGATCTCTAGTTCAATGCTTTATGTTATCAAAAAAAGATTACATTCGGGTTCATCACATGAAAATTTTGATTGAGTTCAGGACTTTAAATAACAGTCGTTAGCACTTTCTAGACCATAAACAAAAATAGAGGAATTAAATCTGAAATATGCTGATAACTTACAGTTGCAGGAGTTTTGATGGCATTGTTTCAACGTATGATAATATTTAGACTGCACCAACTCAGTAGATCGATTGATTTCTCCAGCAGTCCGCTGTCGGATGACTTGTGCAAGCAGATCAGCAGTGCTTCTACTCTTGCAGTTTCATTTTTTCCGAGGACGGATGACTAGAGTTTTGAAGAATGGAAGTTTATTGATAGTGCTTTGCAATGTCAACGATCATGAAAGGCAAAACACATCAAAGGCCTTACAATCTCACCTTCAAACCCACCTCCAAATTCACATATCACCCGAAAACCGGTTGAATGTTTCATAGAAGAAGCAGGGTCATTGACAGTTCCTCTGCTTGCCACCCCAATCCCAATGTGATGAATTTCCGAATGATAATTGATTGATCATCTAAAAAGAAAAAAAAAAAAAAAAGCCCTGAAACACGCCGTAGAGTAAATCCTTTTGTATAATGCTAAAGGATCGAAGCTGTTGGTTGCCCTATTGAGCTCTGCAGTAGAATAAAAAACAAATGGAAATTTGGAGCAAGCCTCAGTCTGAGATTGATTACAATTCCCCAATGTTTAGATCCAAACCATCAAGCGTAAAGAATAATATTTGGCAGACCAAATTTTATACCAAATTTTCAAATAATTTGTCACCAATAGAAAACAAGTACGTTAATCAACACCTTCAATCCCACCTCCCCATTAATCTGCACATATCCTTAGAGCACAGCAGAACGCATATATATCATTGAAGACCAGTGAGAGCTTAGTCGTACACATGTATCATGTATAAAAAACACAAGTTGCATACAGAAGTTTTGGGAACAATGTCACGGTCCAGGAAAATATGGCAGGTGTTACATATCTACGAATGATGGGATTAGGAAGGTGGTATAGAGCTACATTTAAGTGCATTCAGAAGGTGCTCTGCAATACACAACTTAGTTTTCCACGGTAATAATGATTTATCTTCGTTTGTCACTGTTAGAAAAATGCTAATCGAACTTGCCCTGGAACGGTTGAGCACAGAGATACACAGAATGCAAATTTGGTAGCTACAGGTTTCACCATCACTTGCTAAACAAATACAAGTAGGGATCCGTATAATGTTATTGAACCAACATATCCCCTTTTATGACAACCAATCCGGACAAGTTAATCTAGCAATGCAAAATAGACTTCTCAATTCGTACAAGTTCTTTGGCTACATCAGTCATGCATGGCCTTGATTCCCTTCCGTCCTGGGTGCACAACAATGCCAGTGCTAAGAAAGCTTGCAATTGCTGTTGTGCTTGCTCATCTGCCCTTAGCTCCCTAAGGATATTAGCATCCACATATGAAGTGAGGTCTTCTACTACTGCTGATTTATCGACAACCCTAATTTTTTGTCCCATCAAGAATACAAGTAAAAGCACACCAAAGCTATAAACATCAGTTTTTTCTGTAATGTAACCAGTTGCGATGTAGGTAGGGTCAGTATACCTATATGTCCCTTTCACTACATCTTCAACATGAAATTGCTTAGGAGGAATCGTTATGGATAGTGAAAAGTTGGAGAGTTTGGGAGAATAGTTATCGTCCAAGAAAATGCACGTGGGCTTTAGATCCCTATGAATGACGGGCCTGGGAAAGGCGGTATGGAGATATGCAAGTGCATGAGCTACTTTCGTTGCAATTAGCAGTCTAGTTTTCCATGGTAATGAGCGAGTATCCCCTAAACCTCCATGGCAGTCGAGAGCTCCTTTTGCTGCATCTTCATGCACCAGAGCTGGTAGAGAGAACTCTAAGCAGCAGCCCGACAATTTCAAAGCATTTTTGTGCGTACTCATCTGCATCGATATGATAATATCACGAATGGCCATGGACCTAGCTTCAGCTTCACTGGGCCAATGCAAGTACTTCTTAATGATTATTGACCGGTCATCTAGAAGACCTCTGAACAGTTTGAAGGATAAATCCTCACTTATAATGAAAGAAGGATCGAAATTGTTGGTTGCCTTGACTAGCTCATCAGCAGAGTAACTGCGAATAGGACTCGATTTGCCCTCACAAGAAGCAATGAGATCCTCTAACAAGATGCTTCCATTCTTCAAGAATGAGCTCTCAGTTTCCACCATTCTTACACATGGAAGCAAGGAGAACCTGGTACAAATATATATATATATATATATATATATATATATTACACAGTATAAATTGGTAAAACATGAACACAAAGAATGAATATAAAATGGGGAATTGTAAATAATTAAGCGCTCGCGGTTCTCAAGAAATTTTCAATTTTCTTTAGAACTTCAATGAAATCTCAGCTTTCAACTTTTCTTTGCCTCAAATATTTAAGGTTCTCATTACTTTGCGTGCAAAAGAATTTATATGAGACTTCAATTAGTAAAAAATCACTGAGGTTGGATTAATATTTTACGTAATGTTGTAATAAAGAGAAAATATCATAAGCAAAATCTCATGTCTAAGGAAAGTACCATAGAATCAACGAACTTACAAGAATTTGGATGGCATCGTTTACACTTTAATCTCTCTGTAAATTACCAGTCAGGCACCTTAGAACTGGGTTCAGATTATGCCATTTGAACAGTAATTGATTGATTCATAAACCGAGACCACTGCGATGGCATTGGAATGTGCAAGCAGAGCAGCAGTTCAAACAGCCCTGTTTAGAATGACATGCAGTGGGAGTGGCTTAGGAAGAAAAAGGAAGGAGATAGAAAATTAGTGTTGGACGAAAATGTCAAAGAAGTTAGCTAAGAAGAGGACATTTTGCCCTACTATTCAGAGTCAAAGAACTTTAGTCAAGAAGGATGAAAGAAATGCTTTCAACTATAAAGGGAAGAAAGAGCGTTTTAAGACGCGTAAATGTTTTCTTATAGATATTTTGCTCCCACAATTAGTAGGCAAATGGGACTTTCAAATAAGCCTTGTGACGTGCGTTTTTAAATAGTCAACTAGGACTTTGAGCGAGTCAAATTCCGAGAGCAATCTAGCTTGGTACTACCCATTCAAACATATACACATACACAAAAGATTATAATGGTTCACTCAAAACCGGGCTACATTCACTTTGTATTTAGTCACGTACGGAGGATTTTACAGTATATACATGGGGGTGACTAAATTTTTGTGAAAGCTTGGAGGAAATGGAGAAGGTTGTTGGGCCTCGTTCCGCAGCTTTCTTTTCCTGGAGCTAGTACCCCTTTTGTAGTCACTTTGACCTTCTTGAGCAAGAGATTTGATTAGGTCCGACAATTTTTGACAAGAACCATTAATCCAACACGAAATGATACGAAGGTAACAGGTTTTCGGGTCGACACGATAATCAATCGAATTGTTATCGGATGACCTGATAAACACATATTAAGATAACGGGTCAGTCCAGGTATACACGTGAGTAATCCGTTACACTATAGAAAAATATATTAATTTAATAATTGTATACCACTAAAAAAAATTCTATAATTAACAGTAAGAGGATTTAATCCTGAACCGAACTGAAAGTTAAAATATAATAAAATATAAATTAAATTTAGAAAATTAATGACTGTTGGATCGGCTGAGATTTAATTTCGGCTGCCCAATGTTTTTCTCAGCCATAAACTCTCATTCATTTTGCATATCCTTGCACATTTGATATTTTGTAATAATGTATTGATGCTTTTTTTTATTAACAACAAATGTGTTTTTGGTTTTGAAGCAATATTTATGTGGCAATGTGTTATATGCAAATTTCTAAAATTAAAAAAAAAAAAATCTTAAAGGGTCATAATGGGAGAACTGTCATTAATAGCCAAAATTTAACACCCAATTTCATAAATATCACTTTTCTATAAAAACTTTCAAATTAAACTCACGTGACTCATGTGAATAGATCTCCTCTACGTCTTTGGATTCGGAATTCTCATTAGCATCTGAAATTCATATGACTTTATGAAATCAATTGCGATCAATCTGACGTACGAATATCACGAGAAAATTCTTTTGCGTGATTTCAGTTCAGAGAAGGGGCAAAAGCCAAGATTGGAAGATTGCTTTCATGCAAAAATTCATGTTTTCTGTAATAAAAGAGGTGGCAATGCCGAGCCTCAGATATTTACACAAAATAAACTTAAAAATAGTTAAGTGCAAGTATACATACCAAAACTTTCTTAACAAGTGTCAAAGGTAAAACAAAAATTCCACCAACTTGAACTTTGCTAGAATTCTATAGCATGTGCATGGATCTTTCTTTGTGCAGGGGCTGGATTCATTATCTTTGAGCTTTTTGGATTCGTGTTGTACTTTTAACAGATATGTCAGCAGAAACCATCATTTTTGGCCTTAATCTTGACAGCTCGTGGTATGCCATAAGTCTTGTCCTCCTAGTGATTCTCTTCAAAAACAATATATTACAAGTCCAATTCTAACACCACAATATTTCTTGTTGCCTTTTCTACTGCCATATTGATTGAATCCAATTTTTTTCCACTTTAATTCTTATTTTCCTGAATTTGAAATATTTTATTTTCTTTTTCTTTGTACGAGTTCTCCTACATCAGTTGAGAAATCCTTTTGCTGTATATTCATGCACCGGAGCTAGTACTAGAAACTTTAAGTAGCAGCCCAATATTATCAAAGCATTCTTATGTGTACTCATCTGCATCGATATGATAATTTTCGTGAATGGCCATGTACCTAACTTGAACCTCACTAGACCATCACCCTGTGAAGCACTTCCTGACGATAATTGACCGGTCATCTTGAAAACTTCTGGACCGATGGGAAGATGAATGCTCACTTATAAGGCAAGAAGGATGGAATTTGTATGTTGCTTTGAGAGCTCATTAGCGAAGTAAGTGCACATAGACTAGATGTTCATCACAAGAAGCAATGAGATCCTCTAATTATATGCTTCCATAATGCAAGACTGAGCTCTCTCTGTCCTCCGTTTTGATTATCGGATACAGAAAAATTAGTCAAGGCTGTGACAAACCACAGACATGATACGCAAAGAAGCCGACACAATGTACGTTTCATTGAAGAAGAAGCAGAGGTCATTGAGAGTTTTATTTTATTTTCAAAATAATTACAAGATGGGAAAAGGATACTAAGTTTTCTGTGGTGTACAACTGTTAAAATTTAAAACAAAATAGAAAAGCAGAACTTACAAGATTTTGGATGCCATTGTTTTTTCTTTCCTCCTGTGCAGAATCTAGGCCACTCAGAATTGGTGATTCGGATTGCACAAAGTATCTTCACCCAGTCCGGTGCAGGTTTTATGTACAAGCAGATGTTTCCAGTATGAGAAGTTTATTGATATACAAAAGTTCTATCATCAGCTACAAATCCTCAATTACAGAATGAGGACGATCAGATTACAAACATTAGAATTGCCGTTAAACCAGTATCCAATACTTTTGATAACAAATCTAGTGGATTAAAGCTAGCTGGCCAAAACAAATTCTTCAATTCGAATGAGTTCTCTATCCACATCCACCATGTATGGCCTTCTTTCAATGTCATCTCGAATGCATAACAATGCCAGTTTAAGGAAATCATGCAACTGCTGTTGTACTTGATTATTCCCCCTCACTTCCTCATAGATTTTCGGATCAACAATTTCCCCAATTCGGCCATCACAACCACGAACATATCGAATCATTTCAATTTCTTCCTACCCCAAAGTCCCCAAGGTTCTCATCCCGTCAGGAATACAAGTAAAAGCACACCAAAGCTATAAACTTCAGTTTTTTCTGTAATGCGATTAAAATACAGGTAGACAGGGTCAATGTACCCAAATATCCCAGTCACTTCATCATCAACATCAGATTCCATAGGAATGGTTATAGAGAGAGAGAAGTTGTAAAGTTTGGGAACATAGTCATCATCCAAGAACAGGCAGCTGGGGTCCAGATTCCTATGAATGATGGGTCTGGCAAAGGCGGTATAGAGATATGAAACTACACTAGCAACCTGCTTTGCGATACGCAATCTAATGTTCCATGGTAGTATGATTTGACCTTCATTAGCCCCTCTTAAACTTCCATCAGGGTTGAAAACTCCTTTTGCTCCGTATTCATTCACTAGCACTGGTATAGGGAACTCTAAGCAGCAGCCCATGAGTTTCAAAACATTCTTATAATGGCTCATCTGTAATGAAATGACAATGTCACGGCTAACGCAAGACCTGCCCCTATCCTCATTTAGACTTTGCAACGATAATTGATCAACCATCTAGAAATCCCCTGAACATTTTGTAGCCTGAACTATAAGTTACAATGCGAGAAGGATGGAAGTTGTTGGTTGCCTTGATGAGGTCATCAGTAGAGTAACAATGAATAGGATGAGATTCGCCATCACCAGAAGCAAAGAGATCCTCTAATAACTTTTTTAGATTCTTGTAGTACGACGACTCTCTTTTCTTCTTCCAAAAAAATGGCAGCCTTGAGAACCTGGCACAAATATATATACACACGTATGTAACACACGAAGTGATAATGAAACTGCATATATTTTTGTTACTTGTCATTCCCAACAACGAAAATAAAATGTTGAAATGTAAATTATATTTATACTAGCCTCTCTGTTGCGAGAGACATTTTTGCATCACGGGCGCTATGCGCCCCTAAAGGTGTATTGTGTTAGTTTTTCCCATTGTAATTGTCAAGATATACTTTAAATGTATTGTGCAAAGAGGAACTTTTTTTTTTATCATGCACGTCCTAAAAAGTTATCATGTTTTTCGTTTTTACTTTGTGTAAAGTAATGATTTAAATGTTATTCATGCATTTATCAAACAACATACGATTTTAGATGCAAGTTCCTACCTAAAGCCTATGAACAATAGCAAGTATATGTAAATAAAAAAAAAAATAGTAGATGAAAATAGTAAGTACTCGTAGCAAAATACAACACAATTTAAATGTCAAAATATAAATCCTACATAACAATATGTACATTATTCACAATACTCATAGAGTCTATATGTCACTGTTTCTTTTGAAAAGAAAGTTTACATATTAACATCAATGCTGCAATTTCCACCCATTTGTTCATGATTGATGCTTCAAATTTTCATTGCCAATCTACAAACGATAGTGAGAAAATTAAAAATCAAATAAAAAGAGTTAATTGATAAGTGAGAAATGCATACTGAAAGGTTATCGTTAATAAAGCTGTTACCCATTAGGAATCACCATAATTAGCTGGAATGAAGCAAGACTTCTTTGTATACTACATTCCGTGTAAATACACCTTGTTGGCCTACTATGGAGCCACTTTTTACTAACACGGTTGTGGTTGACTTTGAGACCCCCCTCGATAAAGCCACATATAATTGTCCATGGCTGAAGACATGATCTGGAAGGTAAACGCTTACATGTGGTATTGTCTGACCTTGAGATTTGTTTATAGTGATAGAGAAACTTAGTTTCACTGGAAATTGCTTTCTTGTAAGTTCAAATGGAAGCCCAGCAATATCAGTACTTTTGAGAGGGATTCTTGGTAAGAAAACTCTGGATCCGGCAAATTGTCCAGTTAGAATTTCAGCATCAATAAGATTTCGGTAAGAACCACGACACAATAATCTTGTACCATTACACAATCCCAATTTCGGATCAATATTTCTTAAAAGCCTGATTGGAGCACCTCTTTTCAAAGTTAACTTGTGCGGAGGCAAACCACCAAGTGAGATTGAATTCAAGAACTCTAGCTGATGCAAATTCCTTATGTCATCCTCAACTGAATCAAATGAATACATTGTCTCTTCTAAACCCGGAAATATATTGATTATCTTTTCATTCAACATATCAACGTCTTCATTTGTAGGAGTTACCACTGCCCTTTCCACCATGTAGGTTGCATCATTTATATGATCCTCTAAGTCAGGGAAGATTTTGGCAATTAATTGATTAATGGAATGCTCACTCTCCCATGGTATCACCATGCATTTAGGTAGTTTTACCATATCATCCATAATAACATCTTCATTCCCATCACCAACACGAAGTAAAAATTCTGAAAATTCACAATCATTTATGGATCTCATGTTTTGTTTGAGTTTTAAAATCTTTACTTGTAACCAAAATGATGCCTTAACAACACTTGCTTGGAATAGTTCGGACTTGGTTCCTTTCCGGATAACAGGAAGAACTTGTCGAAAATCTCCCTCAAATATCATTATCTTCCCCCCAAATGGTAAGTCAATATCTGTTAAGTCTCTGAACGTTCGATCGAGTGCTTCAAATGCATGACGATGCGTCATTGTTGCTTCATCCCAAATAATTGCCTTTGCCTTTTGTATTAGCTTTGCTAAATCAGATTGTTTACCGATCGAACACATCGATGATGCATTGAGACTAAGTGGTATCTTGAATTTAGAATGTGCTGTCCTCCCACCAGGCAATATCGTAGCTGCTATTCCAGATGATGCTGTTGCTAATACTATGTGCCCCAACCTTCTCAAGCTTGCTAACAATGCGCGATATAAGTAAGTTTTTCCAGTTCCACCGGGACCATCCACAAAAAAAGTTGCATTATCCGATTGTTGAATTGCACCCATTATTATGTTAAACGCACTTTTTTGGTCATCATTTAAGCGTTCAATTGCATCAAGATCTTGTTGTGGAATACATATGGATATTTCATCTTCAATACATCCTGTCATTCCTGAACTTGATTCATTTCCTCTTGTCATTTGGGGCAAATCAAACTCGTTTATACTCTTATTAAATTGAACCAAAAGTATGTTCAACTCACGCAAGAGTATGTTGGTAGCAAGTGTGGGAGTTATGTTAGTCATGGAAACATAATCTTCCATCATGAATGGACAGAACTCATCCCATAACCCTCGAACACCAATTGGTGCACAATATACCAATATGGTGACGAATAATCTTCTTAAAGCCGACGGCATCTGAATTGTGGAGGCCTCTAACAAACATTGTCAAATACTGTCATCTCTTTCTAACAAACCTCGTTGTTCTGCTGCCTGCTTAAATGTTGGATGCAAAACCCCATTAACTGTTCTCAAGTTTGTGAAGGATGTTGGTCCTCTAACATGATTAAGAAGAATCCGAAGGTAAAATTTTTCGCCTTCAGCAGGTGAAACTACATATATTCGCCCAATAACCTTGTTATGATTCATTCTTTTAGACCACTTTCTTTGAGCTTGAATCCATCTGTAATGTGATGGTATCTCCATGTATAAATAATGTCGCGCTTCTGCATCTACATGATTAAGTGTAAAAAATTCAGTCAACATTGTCTTTCTTGTACTCTCATCATGTAGAATATTTGTTATGCTTTCATCGGCACGAAACTGAACTTGGTGCATATTAGGAAGATGTATTTGCATTCGCTCAACAGATGGATAAATTCGATTAATAATGAACTTGAATATCTTCCATAAGGCCTCTGGTGCACAAACCCATCTTGCATCCTGAAACTGCTTTATTACATCGTATTGAGGGTCTGATTGTACTTCAACTGTCATTCTGTATGGGCCTTTGTAAACATACTTATATAAGTACTTGACACTTTTTATGCTTGCGCAAATTTCAACACTGATGTGACAATCATACCTTAACAGCAACCATGGATTATATGGAATGACCCAACTATTATCAACCATTATGTTTCCTTGTCGATTAAGTGAGACGGGCAATCGATTTCCTCGCCTTTGATAAATTGGATACGAATCATTCCCTTGAATGGTGACCGGTGCAAATGGTTTGGGAAACTTTCTCTTACAACTCCCATTTTTCATACATGGAGATTAAGGATTATGAATCCCACACGGGCCATGAATCATATGCTTTAACACCACATTATAAAGTTGAGGCTCTACATCTTCATTTGGTATTTCAGCTCTAACAATTCGGTCGTACTCATCTGGGTTATTGATCTTATCATTTTCATCTAACACAACCACCATATGCACATGTGGAAGACCACGTTTCTGAAACTCAATAACGTATGCGTAAGCAACAACACTGCCTAATACCCCCTTTTCAATGATGTCTTCTTTTAGTTGCTCAAGTTTTGCACGAAATACTCTAGTGAGTAACTCAGGGCGATCTTGTGGAGTTTGTCTAGTTAGTAATTCGCTTTTGATTTCTTCCCAACTTGGGTTACATGTCATGGTAATAAAAAGATCTGGCTTTCCGAATCTTTGAACCAAAGTCATTGCGTCTTGATATCGTTGGTACATGTCACGTGGGCTTCCAACAAATGATGATGGTAAAATAATTCTACGCCCGATGCTACCTAATAATATTTTATTTTCAATTAGCTGTATATATTGTACACACTTTAAACAAAGTTATATTTCTAAATAACGATGACTGAAACGATATATATACCTACATTGTGTTCACCTGCATTTAAAGAGTCTTCAAGTCCTTTGTAGAGATCCGCTCTAACTGTGGCTTGATTAGAACGCAACCATCTAAGTTTTTGTGATTCAATTTTAATGTAGTTATCTACAGCATATTGTTGCAAGAGACGTCCACCTCGAAGCAAAAGTGATGATCCATTATGGCGTATCTACAAAAGCAAATTTCATATATTGCTTTTAATATAGGAATCATCATTCATCTATATATACCGGGAAGTAAATTATGTTATTAGTACAAACCTGTAACATATAAGCATAATAGTCGCAACATGTTATTGCTCTTCCACCATCATCATGACTGTTAACATCCCATCCATATGTACTGTAAGGCAGCAACAGTGGATATTGTAAGGGATCATAAAATCCAACATAGTCTCGGACGTGAGAAAGTCTTCCACTAATTGTCTCCACCACGATATCCCTTCCATTTGCAATTGTGGCATTATCTCCATCTATTATACTTGCTGCAACTTGTGATGTTGATGGTAGACTATACTGACGCCGATCTATTGGTTGCTCTTTTAGGATCAACTTGCAATTCGGCAAATCTTGGCATTGTCCGAGGCTTCGCAATGTATGAACAAAAGGATTATGGTTGTTCAACATCTGTTGTATCTTTTCAACCACACGTCTATCTAAAACTTTACTTTCACACATTCGGTTTTCAACTTCATGCTTAGTGTCATATATATAAGCTTGTAAAAATCGCGGTCTGTTCCCTTCATTTGGTAAAAGTCCACCAATCTTATGATATAATGCACCTTGAGCACGAAATGTGTAAATCCCACGACCACCAATATTAATTCTTTCATCCACATGTACTCCCATTGAAGTGAATGCAAATGCATGATTGTAAGCTCGAATATTTTGCCTGAAGTGTCTACCCTCATTTGTTTGGTCAGAGAAAAGAGCAACCATTTTTGGTGGGGACTGTATTGGGGGTAAAGCAATTCTTCCTTTCAAGCAACATATATTCAAAGTTTTTCGAGTAAACAATCGTGCATAGCAGTACGGACATGTGGTTGGAGTAGATAATTGGCAATCTAGGATACCCCGATTCTCACTATAATTTCTAGCACAATTGTGGTTTCTTCTTCCTCTGCTTTGGCGCACATGACAATTGGTTTTATTTGCATGTTCTTCTTCTGATATTTTTACATGAATATCCAACACTCAGTATAAGAATTTTCTTTGTAACTAATCATATATGTATATAAAGATAGAATTATATACTAAGCTCACCATTGTGGGGAGGAATTGAGAGCATCCCATAAGATATTTGTGACCTATTTGAATGTGCCAACTGTCCCATATGAGTACGCATTCTAGTAGAAGTTTGGTCATCACAATTTGTGATATCTGACAAAACCCTTGAATTCGCGCTTTCATGCTCAATTTGTTCTAATAAATAGACCACATTATAATCGATTAGTTAAAAATTGTGTGTTTAATATTTAATATATTTAGTTGTGAGTCTAATATTTCATAAGACTACCACTAAAAATAACTACAACATTGAGATCAATATGAGAGTATCGAAGAAAAGAATAAAATGAGATTTCAATTCACAAAATTTTGTTCTTAAAAAATAACCTAATTTTTTAAGTGTGAAACAAATACAAATAAAGAAATTGAAATAAATACCAGGAATTTGTTGTTCTATATTACTGGGGTCGACCTCAACATCATAGTTAGCCAACTGAACCCGTTCTTGTATATTACTGGGACCTACTTGTTGCATAGTTAAAAGAAAAATTAGAAATTAGATTTTTTTTATTTTTTTGCATTAGTATGAGTTAAAGAAAAAGGAATATGAAATAAATACCAGAAATTTCTTGTTGTATGTTACTGGGGGATGTCATAGTATGATCATCATATAGAGTTGGAATTTGTTGTCTTTTTTCTCGTGCTATTAGACGTCGTCGAGCTAGATATCTTTGATGTTCTTCAGGACTCAATGATTGATGCCATTGTCTTGCACGACTTTGACCACGCTCCATGGAAAAATTTATCTAAAAAATTAAAAAATAAATGAACCTAAATTGAATACAAATTTTGTGACATTCCATAAATACGAAAAATTCTACATAGATGCCTATGAACAGAAGAAGAAAAAACATTTATCTACACTTCACTATAATACAAAAGAACAAAATAAAATGATCACAAAATACTTTTGAAGTGTAATAAGATCAGTGCAAGGAAATGACGGGCCTATATATACACTTCTCGGTTGGTGTTAGGACTTGGATATGATTTAGCTTTAATGTTTTTTTTTCTTTTATAAATTAGCATTGTTTATAGAGTTTTAATTTTTATGTCAACTGGATGAGTAGAATTTTAAACTTTTTTAATACCCCTAAACCCTATCATAAATGACGGATGTGGGCTGGACATAATATAAAAAGTTTTTAGAAATGTGTAACCCATAATAAGAGGCTAAAAAACTACCACATGACAAAGAAGAATTTGTGTTCAATGTAGGTTCATTATATTTATTAGTTTGCTCTAATAACTCAACAATGCACATATAAGCTCTAAAATGTTATGATATCCTTAAAATTTTAGTAATTTTGGTTTCTTAGTTATTATGTTTATTAGTAATTTTGGTTCATTAGTTTAAGGATATGATCTTCAAGAATTTGTGATCAACACATCTTAAGAAATTTTGGGGTGCTTTGTTGGTCGTTGGGGTGCGGATGGGCATGGGATGATTTGGTTCAAATGGATAAAATAAATAAAAATAAATAAAAAAAATAAAAAAATAAACAATGCATGCACGCAAGGTTCCTTAACAAAATCATAATTATGAATAACTGTTATGATATTCAAAATCCTTCTCGAACCCTGCTGGTGTTTATGAATGATTTTGGACTACATGGATATTTGAGGTTACGAAGAAGATTATGAATAACTAAACATGGGTCAAAATTTTATTTGTTAGAGGACAACAATTGTTCATAATTGGTTTGATCTTGGACATAATAACAATTACGAATATTTGTTTTCTTCACATTATCTTCTTGAATTGGGGTTCAACATTAGAAGTTCTTTTCTCAAGTCTCAAAATTAAGCAAAATGAAGAAAACAAAAGGCCAAAAGCAAAAAGCCACCTCTTCCGCTATTATCACCTTCCCTTTTCTTCAATGCTCATTCCCAACAGAAAATCTATGGCAAGAATACACTTTCCCCCCTTCCTTTTTCTTCGAGCCTCAACAAATGGGTCTGCAACCAATGCCAACTGAAATAATTCAGGTTAAGCAAGAGGAGTTGATAAAGAATCGGCCAAGAGAAGACCAAGCTAAGCCAACTGAAATAATTGAGGTTATTCCTGACAACGCTATAAATATTACATCATAAAACAGTTTAGCTTAATTCAGTACATCTTTTTTTGTTAAATAAGAAATGACTATGTTTTCTGTTAAATAAGAAATGACTATGTCACAAATGTCCATATAATTTAATTGAAATGATAAACATGTTCTGTAAAACCAAGATTTTTGAAAGTCTAACTAATTGGTCAAATAGTGTCAAACATAGTAGTATTTCTCCAAGTAATAGCACGTCCTAATATTAAGCTGAAAAGTAAGAATAGTTATATGACATTAAATTGAAAGTCTAACTAATTAAGATGATTGTAATAAACATGAGGCACTGTTATGCAAATATAACAGGGCTGCAAACCAATTGGTAAAAGCACACTTTTATATGAAAATAAAAACAAAAAATTCAATTAAATAAGCATCATCATGCACTCCATGATCATCTGTCCTTATTTTTTTAATTTACGTTAGTTTGTATGCAAATGATTTGGGAAATTATAGGAGTGCAAAATGGATAGAACCCAGAACTGAAATGAAGAGAAAACACACATCCAATTTGGTGATGGTAAAAATGGAAAAGGGATATGATCAATACCCGATCGAATCACTGGCGAGAGAGCTCCGATTCCAAAAATTAATCCACAAATACTTAATGTTAGCCTTTTCAATCAAATTCTACTTAACCTAAGACTAATCCAATCCTAATCAGCGAACATGACTTGAATATTTGTATGGCAAATAGACAGCAAGCGAATGCTCAAACCTGGAATGTGTAGCCACTAGTATTCTCCATGTGTATCACTCCCGAAACACGTTAAAAGCTTTGGCAAGTAAGCAAACTGCAACATCGATACAATGACAAACAGAACTTCAATTACACACTGCCAAACCATCCAAAACTTTACTCAATAAGAGAACAATTAAAACATATTATATTGTAATGAAAAAAATTGTAAGGCCACATCCAAATTGAATCGTGCATCTTTAGAAAAAACTAAAAAAAAAAAAAAAAAAAGAAAGAAAAAAATCAGATTGCAAAACTATCTATGTAAATACTTAAAGTCATTGTAAAAGAATATACTATAATCAAACAAACAGCATAAAACTCACCAAGTTGCTTCAAGTCATGAAACCTGAAATGCAATGAAATCAATTCATTTGCAGCAAACAACATACACATATTTCTTTTGACACAGAGGTATACAAAAACCAAGCTACCTGTAAAACTCGTACGTATCAATAAACTGTACCCAACACCAATGGGGCACCAGTCTTACTGACAATGAAGCTGAAGCCGCCAATCTCTGGTGGGATGAAACTGACAATATCGGTGTAGCATATTCTCATAGAATTTGAAACAGTATGTGAACCTGTGTAATAAAATAAAAAATATAAAAAGCTATGAAAGAAACAAAAATCTGAACGTTAACAGTTTTTTATATACTTGCTCGGGAAACGAAAGCATGAAAGAGAGATCAAACCTGAAAGAAATCAGAAATGACCGTTCAGTGATCTTTGGGCGTGTGTGGGATTAGTAGAATTATAATGAGGCATTGAATCTATTTATCTCTGAAGAGTAGCTACATAAAGAAAACATAAACATAAGGAGGGTCCTTTTTGTGGCCTAGAAAGTGAGTGAAAATAAGCCCAGGAAACGCACCAAATATGATAAAAAAAAAAAAAAAAAAAAAAAAAGCACTCAAAAGCTAAATTGTTATACGAAAATAACACGCGGAAAATAACCCAGGAGAACCTCTGTTGGAGGATACAACGAACCGAAAGAAAAAACGGAGTTTGTGGTAGAGGCATGGGCTTAGGGTGCCGATGGGTGAATACTGAGTGTCGATGGAGAAGCAAATCTGAAAAATGGTTGAAAACGAACACCCCAATCTCCTTTTCAGAACGTGGGTTGTACATGAAGATGACAGTTGCCATTTGTTTGCATAGTTGGATAGTGCTTATATAAAAAATCGGTGTGATGTTTTCATCGTCCATTTTTTTAAACTAAGGGGCCACATTCATTGACGAAATTTAGGATGAAGCTTTGAGGGAGGGTTTGATTCATCCAACGAATAAAAACAATCTTGGCTAAGAGTGTAGAAAAAGTATATCTCACGTAAGCATCTCCCATGTGTGTTGTGTTTCATTTCACTATGTTACCCCTATTATAAGCAGTTACTTTTGTGTTGTCTTTTATATTGAATGAGGACATTATGGGAATATTGAAAGCTTCACCAAACTGAAGCTCTCACTTTATATATATAGATGTTGTATCAATTTTTAAAAAATAATGTAAATATCGTTTAATGCTTATTTTACAATAAAAGAAATTCATTTAAATCCATCTAGGTTCTTGCCTAAATCTCGCCTGGGCGCCTAATTGCTAGGCGTCAGTCCGTTGCCTGACTAGTGCCTAAAGTTTTTTAGAATATAATCCTTACCAATTTAAGGTTTTTACATGGCTTTGATCTTACCACTTACAACCGTTTTGGTGGATAGACTATTTTCTGTTATGAATATTGATTCAAAACTTTGCACTCTCTAGTATGAAAGCAACCATTTCGATTGAACCTTGCACTGTTTTGAATTTCGCCC